ATCACTCGTGTGGATAGTTCGACGAGTGTCATAGAAGGTCGTGAGAGCGAGTGAGGTGGGGAACAGGGGGGAGAGAGTCGAGGTGAAGGGGGCTCGCGGGAGAGAGGGCCATCAGTGCGAACAACGCACGTGCGTGTGAGTGCGTGCAATTTAATGATTTCCAGCCGGAATTTCGATGACGCCGGGTCTGCGGGGCGAGGGGCACGGAGAGGAGGGTGAAGGGTGGAGGGGCAGGGATAGGCGAAGGGAGAGAGAGAGAGAAACGCGCGGCCGGAAGAGAGAACGAGCGAGTGCGGCCGCGAGTTGGTCAGGGCTGGCGCGTTTCCGCGCGCGAATTTCCATGCGAGGGATGGTCAGAGGAAAAGGGGGAGAGACACGAAGAGCGCGACAGGGATCGGGAGTGAGAGAGGGAGAAAAAGAGAGCAAGAGAGAGAGAGAGACAAAGAGGGAGAGAGGGCAAGAGAGAGGGAGAGAGCTCGGGACAACGGAAAAGACGCTCGCGGCCGAGAGCGAGATGGGACGTAAATTTTCTAGCGGTGCGTTCATTTGTTCGTCGAACGAAATGCGAATGCATTATACATGGATTGCAGGGGACATTAATTTTCTGCCGTGGACGTGTAGTGGGCCGCGCGCGGCAGGGCGGCAGAGCAGGGCCGTGTGCCGGGCAGGGTTGCGGGGGTGGTCGAGCGCAGGGGGTGGGTGGCCATCCACCCAGTATATAACATCCAGCACGACCGGGGGTTGCGGGACGTGAGTGCGCACCACCGGTCAGGCCGAGGTGGTGGAAAGGTGGAAAGGAGGGTGGCGATTCCACGGGCTGTTTCGTGCTCACACGTCCAACCACGTGCGAGCTTTTGCCGGGTTTTCTACATACCTACTTTCGCGAGCCCGGTGATTTTGACGAGTGGAGCGGCGGGATGTATCGCCGCGGCGGCGAAAAAAAAGTTCAAGGGAGGCCGGAAATGCGCGATATCTCGCGAGACGACGGGAAATTTCTCGCGGAAAGAGTCTGCCGCGGTGGCGGCCGGGCGCGGCTCGGCATCAAAGGGTCAAAAGCGGCGAAAGGGCGAACGGGGTGGGGAATCATTGGACGTTCTGTCAGAGGTGTTTAATATTCCGAAAATGATTTGTGCGAGCGCCGCACAACGTAGGAGGAAGAGCGACGGTGTGAGAGGAAAGGGTCGAGAGTGAGAGAAAGAGAGAGAGAGTTAGAGAGAGGGTTGGAGGGTGTCGGAGGGTTGGCAGGGAGAGGCAGGCAGGCAGGCCGAGCAAGCAGGGAGAGAGAGAGAGGGAGGGAGCTCGAGGGTAGTAACCGTACGTCAAAATTAAATGTTGAAATTCGTGTAGAATGTCTGGCGCGATAAATTCGTTCGTGCAACAATGATCACGATTTTTAATGGAATAAAATTGAAATTGTCCGGGCTCCGAAATGACGGCTAGAATTTATGGCTCGCACGAAAATACGACGCGCGGCAAATATTATATTTCACCTGGCTACGCGGCACTAGGACGATATATTTCGAAATATTAAAGCGCGACACATTAAGAAGAATGCGCGATTGATTATTTCTGAAAATTGTGAATTCCACCTCAGGCTCGAAATCGCAGCTGCCTCGCGCAAAATAATCCGTTATGTTCGCGGCACCTACGTGAACGCGTTCCGTTTCGTTTCACATGCGTGAATGTCCACGTACTTTCGCGAGAGGAGTGTCAGTGAGGAGGGAATGCCGAATGCGACGAACGGGACGGAATGCCCGGCCAAGTGCACCGATTCATCAAAAGTTCTTTACAATTCGTAATTCTCGCACTCGACGAAGGGTCTCTCAAAGAGTCCGGGGGCCAGACCCTTCGACGAGGCGACCTCGAGCGATTCACCCGCCCCTCCGTTCCATTTCTCTCGTTCTTCCGTTTCGCACGCGAGATTTTCAATTTAATCATAACTCTTCGCGCCGTTCCGCGCGATGCCACGCAAATTATTACGAATAGGAGGCCATTACCGCAACGAATAATTATTCAGCCGCGCCGAAAAAAGAAAGCGCGCGCGGACCTCGGGATCTATCCGGTGGAAGCTCTACCGCCGCAGGGATCATCGATCCTCGGCGAGTGCATCATTAATAGGATGCCGCCGCCGCGAGCAGTGTTGTCGCGCTGTGTTCGTTCGCGAAATCAGCCCGGGGAACTCGATAAGAATTGAAGAGACGCTTTATTCGATATAAAGGACCGCGTTTTCCATTACACATTTACCGGTTAATTCCTTCGTGCGAGTGACACGGTCGATAACGAGGCACTAAAAAATGAATGCCAACCGCACGCTCGAAATGCCAAAGCTATATATACACGCGAGCGCACGCACGGTTTATATCGCAACGTTCTTTTTCCGTTTAATAACGCGCGAGTCGGCGAGAAGGCGCGCGCGATCGGGCCCGTACGTACGTAGTAGCGTTTATCGCGTAATAGTAGCGGCAGAACTGTTTTCATAGAAACGGATGAGCCGGCCCGGCCTCCCGGTTCTATGTCATTATCTCCCTTTTATGAACTAAGAAGGAGAGAAGTATTGCACCGTGCAACTCTCCCCTTCCCGCCGCCGTTTGTTTCCTACTGCCGCTTCCGGTGAAGCGCGAAGCGCACAAAAAAGGTGAATATTACGTATGTGCGAGAGCGTACACGTGGGCGAGCTCATCGTTTCTACAAATAAATGTTTCAACCGTCAATTAAGCGCCGACAATAAGAAACCAAGCGGACCGGCGGCCGACCGGCCGGCGTATTAATATGTTTTTAATTGTAGCGCGACAGAAAACATACGGTCTTCAGGGAGGGAAAAGCACGTAATAGTGTCCCTTCATAAAAATTCCAATAGCGCCTTCTGACGTTTTTCTTTCGGCCGCGGGCAATTAAATTTCTTTGTACTTCCACCGACGTTTCTGCCGCCCCGACGGCCGCTCGCACGGGGGGAAGAGACTCGATTTGCCGTCCCGACGATATCGAATCGCACGCGATTATTAATTCGCCGTCGCGTAACGCCGGCGACGTGCGACGCGTGCGTAAAACTACGCCGTGCTGAATTTATATACGCGAGCGCGCAGGAATATACGCGGAAGCGGAATCCGATCGTGAATAAGTTAACGTATTAGTGTTACACACGTAGCGGCGGCGAGGTGCGGTACCGCCGCCGTCGTCGTCACCGCCGCACCAGCGCGCGTGAAAGCCTTCGCGGTGTCTTCTTCCCTACACTTATTTCACGTGGGAAATAAATACGAGCGATCAGGTCGCTCGTTTTATCCAGGAAATCGCTTCCTCTAATAATAGCCTCGCCGGCGCCACACCGGCACCATTATAAAATCCGGCTACTTTTATCGTCGTGCATCGCGCGCCAAGAGAGAGAAGGGTCTATTATCATCCCTCCCTTCTTTCTCTCAAGGAAAGAATCGCGCGATTTAAAAACGCATTTTGTCGTGCGCGCGCACGTCCCTTTCGCGGCCGAAAACTCTAAACGACGACGCGATAAAAGATTTGCAGAATCTAATTCTGCTCGCTCGAGTTATTTTTATTAAATCGAACACGATGAAATTCTCCGATGAATCACGCGACTGAATAAAAGATGAATCCCGTGGAACGACCGAGGGATAGAGAGAGGTAGACGGTGGAGGCGAGAAAGACAGACAGAACGAGAGAGAGAGAGAGAGAGAGAGAGTGAGCGGAAGGAACAAGTGCCCGAGGTAAAAAGGATTGGGGAAGAATGTCGATATTAATAAAAGTTAAATTGAGCCAATCGCTTGTGGGAATTAGAATCGAGTCCACTGAAAACGAACGACGGCGAGGAGCCGTGGAGAGGAGAAAAAACGCAATAAAAACGCAACGCGCCAGCTGAAGTCTTCTGGCTCTCGAATGCCGATCGATCGAGGCGATTAAACGATCGAGAGGCTACTCCACGGTGCCGCTTTGCATTAATATTACGCGGAGACTGGCTGGGGCGCTTAAATAATCGTATTTTCAAGCAAACGCAAATCTCTCAAGATGCCGTGCGCGATAAACAACAACATTCGCTTGCGCGCGCGCAAGTATTTGCACGGGGGGTTGGGAGGGGATAATACTTGGCGTGTTTTAAACGCCTCCAATTTACGCACGTCGTCGCCGTCATGCCTTCCCGCTCGCACGGGCGCGGAGAAAAATGCCGGTGTGTTTTTCTTCCCACCACCTACTCTCCCCGATGTAGATGTAGAAACCTGTTGCATGTGCCGTGGGAAAAAAAATATCGGGGAAAGAGTGCCGGGGGAGTCGCTGACTGGACAATTCGCCTTCCTAAGCGCAGTTTTTCCGCGCAACTTTTACCTTTTAAGAGCGAGCGCGAGACGAGAGACATACTTGGCGAGAGCTGACAAACGAGTCGTTAATGACGTTTCAATCTCTTCATCAATCTTCGTCGCGTAGTCCGCGCGGGGACGCGGTTAATATTGTATGTACGATACGTCGGGAGAAATGATACCTACTCTTTACACGCCAATCAAAAGTAAACGGTATATAAGCGGCTTCGGGGAACATACGAATGCTTTACACGCGATTACGAATAATAATAAATGAGGAAGCGGCCGACGCTGTAAATGCAGACGCGTACGCCGCGACAATCGGTCGCTCGCGACGATACTTCAAGTACTGATTATTCCGCGCACAATCGTCTCGTTTCAACGACGTGTGATTAAGAGGCGACCGGTCGGCGATCGTCGACGGTCATCGTCGCCGTCGGCGGCGGCGACGACGACGACTCACTCGTTATCGCGACGTCCTCATCGGACGTCGAAATTCCGAAATCGCGGGAGCCAGCCCGCGACAGCGGGGAAAATCGCATGGCATGACCGGTGCGCGCGGCTTTCCCGACCGTGTATTGCGCGAACGGCCATTACGTGCTCCCACCCGTACACTAGACCGTAACACAATTTACGTACGCTCGTGGTGGCGCACAGCCGCACGAAATTCTAATGCCGCCTTACGGTATCTGATCGCAGGTGAACGACCGTACAAGTGCCATTTACCGGACTGCGGGCGGGCCTTCATCCAACTGTCGAATTTGCAGCAACACCTGAGAAATCACGACGCTCAGGTGGAGCGGGCGAAGAACCGGCCGTTCCACTGCAACATCTGCGGCAAGGGCTTCGCCACGGAGTCCAGCCTCCGTACCCACACGTCGAAGGTCAGTCATGTATGTACCAAATCCGACGTCCAACTCGCAATTCGCTGTGATACGCGGTGCCGGTATAACCAAAAGAGAGAGAGAGAGAGAGTGGTATCTCGCGGNGAAAAAAAAAAAAAAAAAAAAAAAAGAAACGGAAGAAAAAGAAAGAAAAAACAAAAAAAAAAGAAAAAGATCGATTCAATCTTGCGGTTTTCTCGCTCGCTCGTACACGCACATTTTACTTGAGAACAAATGTCATCTCGGGCGCGTATTGTCGCGCGTTGTCGCTAAATCTAAGAACCGCTGTGATCGCTCTCCTCTAACCGACCGAAATGTATCTATATTAACTCTTTCTCGCGCGACACTCGTTCTCGGTTTTACTCGTACGCACGCATATGGTGGTGGGTTCACGCTTGCCTCGATACTTTGTACAGATGGATTCCCGTTCGAACGCTCTTTGTCCGCCGTTTCCTTTGTTCCGTTTCGAGGGCTCCCTATATAATCGATGTGTCTCGAGCGAAGTTAAAACAGTCAGTCTCGCTGGAGACGCGGCGGCGGTCGACGTGTCGGGGCCTCATGAACACGGCCACGTCGCGAGCGGATAATTCGGATCCCCGACCGATGAGTCCCTCGGTCTGCGAGTCATCGTGCCGCGAACATCCCCGTCTCTCTTGTAGATAGCGCATCTATCTCCTTGTGAAACAATGTATCGAGGGTGGCTTTGGATACTTTCCCGCGGGATCCTTCGGGCTGCTTGGGCTTGCTTTCGCCTCTGGATTTTTACATACGACGCTTATCGACACGAAATCGACATGAAATCGACATTAGAGACGACACTCGACCGACCTGGCGGGACAGAACGAACCGTCGCTTGTCTCTCGTGAAAGAAAGAAAGAGAGAAAGAGAAAGAGAGAGAGAGAGAGAGAGAGGAAAAAAGAGCGGAGCCGCAAACCGGAACTTTCAGACCGAAAATGACCCAAGAATGGCGATCTCTTAGTGAAAGCGACGGAGAACGACGAAGATATGAGGAGAAACCACGATCCGAACACACACGAATCGAACAGTCCGGCCGTCCACGAGCGAAACTCGACGAAGACGTCAGGACGAGGGTGACGCGAGCCCTTTGATATCGACGGCGCGCGCGATTACGGGCATGACACGGATAGAAGAATTTTCTCATACGGGCGGTCGCGTACAAACAATCGTTGTTTACACACGCACGGCGACTCCGTCTGGGCCGCGTGCGTGCCGGTTATTAGAGGGACACAAGTGAAAAAAGACTGGCCCGATCTGGGAAAAAGAGCGCGACCCCCGTGCCCGTTAATCGAATTCACCCCTCGCGTGGAATCGCGGCGGCGCGATTACCGCCGGAATCTTGTATCGTGGGGCAGTTTTTTGCCGCCGCTGCCGCCCCACCCGACCGGCAACTGAATTTCTCAACCCTTTCGCCGCGCCGGGCACATGTCTCGGCGAAAAAACGTGGGAAGGCATCTGTCGTCCCGTCCGCGCTCTCTCCTCCTCTCTTTCGCTCCTCTCTCCTCCTCCGTCGTTGCTTTTCCTCCTTCTCTCCCGCTCTTTATTCTTTCTCCTCCACCTTTTCTTTCCGCTTTTTTCCCCGTCGCGTTAAGTCGATCGCGCTTTTTTGCAATTTCCAATTATACCGACCGCGCGTTACGTAACAGTCCGCGTTTCCGCTAATGGATCCGCCGTAACCGTGAAACAAACGGCGACGCCGCGTCCCGCACAAAAGCCGAAAGAGGAATCGAACGCTGAGAAAGGAGACACGGGACGCCGATGTGACCGATTGTCGTCGTCGGAATCATCGTTATTTTTCCAGACGCGAGTCGGTATTCGCGAGTCGCGGAATCAGGTGCGTCGGCACGTCGGGAGCCTACGCGAACATAATCCGTTCACACGTCGGCTGTTCCGGCAATAAATATCGCTCTTTTAACGCCCCGTTCATCGGGCCGCTCTAATTGAAACCTAATCCACGGCTAAAGCTTTCAGATTATCCCCCTTCGGCCCCCGCGCCCCGACCTCGATAAATCTGCCGTAAAGTCGTGCCGACGACCCTCCGCCTTACGAACAGACAGGCGAACCCGACCATTTTTTTTTTCCCTCGTCCCGCACATAAACGCGCGCAGTTAGGGAAGAATGAATGAACTGACATGACATGACGACCCTGTTACCGCCACGCATTTTTCTCCCCCTCTCCGCCGCGCCGCAACGATAATCCCCGCGATAATGAGAATGCTTTTTGCAGTCGAGTTATTAACCCCCTCGTTTGGAGTAACGGATAGTCTCGATCGGTTTTTTCAACGGTAGGCATCGATCGCCCGTCGCAGAACGATAGCCGGCTTGCACAAGCGCGGGATTAGCGCGCCGGATCGAATACTCGCGCGAAATATGTGCGAATGTGTGTTGCGCACTTGCGCGACCGCGAGAACGGCCGCGTTGTCCGGGCTTATCGGCAAAAATATCGGAATGTACGTGGCTCGCGGTAAATGAGGAAAAAAATGCGCAACGAGAAGAAACGATGAAAGACGCGGAAGGAGGAGAGGGAACGACCGAGAGCGGAGTACGAAGAGAGGATCTTACGGAGTGCGCGGCGAAGTAATTAAAAGCCGCCAGCACGGAAAAGAGAGTAGAAGTAGAGAGAGAGAGAGAGAGAGAGAGAGAGAGAGAGAGAAAGAGTGAGAGAGGCCGGCGACAGAAACAGAGTGTACGCCCGCTGGAAATAAAACGAAACGAAACAAACGGAGAGCTCGAGCCCATCTTCCGCGGCTAATCGAATTTTCGTCGGGGCAGATTTCTTGAAATTGTTTTCGCTATTTCCGACCGCCTAGCCCGTCTCCCTCTCGCCGGCTACCGTCCTGATAGCTAATGGTTCGTTGTTAAAAAAAAAACGAAGGAAAAGGAGAGGACGAGGGAAAGAAGCGAGTGAAGCGCGCGAGAGAAGCAGAGAGAGAGAGAGAGAGAGAGAGAGCGCGAGACGAAGAAAGAGGAACGTGGTTCACGGAAGTACGGCGGAGAGTAAGGGGAAATGAAAGAGTTACGCTCCGGGTCGAGGCCTGGCGTGTCGGCGAAACATTATCCCGCTAAGAAAGACAATACACCCGGAGTACAATATTATAATAGGCCGGAGCGTAAATGTATTATAGAGAACGATCGGTAGCCCGGGCATAGAAACTCGTCTATGGTCTACCTCTACACGTACACACGCACACACATGCACACACACGCGTATACACTTCCTCTCTCCGTGTATCCTATTAACTGTTACCCTCTTCCCTGGCTCTCGGAACAGGGGCGGATCATCGCGACGATACACCGTCGCGATATGTCCTCAGTTAATACGCCCACGCTCCTGAATCCCGGTACGGCCGAGCCACCGGCAGGTTCGTCTCTCCACGTCGAAATTTCCTTCTCACTAATCGACCTATCGAATCTCTCCCCCGGCCTCCCTCGCGATTCATCGCCGCGCGCGACCGGAGACTCTCCTCTTTTATCTTCGCCGCGAGATTCCGTCTCGGGCTTTGTATATCACGATACGATCGAGATACGCCGAAGAGAGAGATAGATTGACAGATAGAGAGAAAGAGAGAGAGGGAGGGAGAGAGAAAGAGAGACGCAAGTTCGCTCGACGCATAGTTCCGAAGGGGTAGAATTGCGCGGCTCGTCGCTGTAAATTCGCGAATTCGACCGGCCCTGATCCCTTTTTCCCGCTCTCTGTTCCTTCCTTTCCCCATCTTTGTCCGTCTCTCTCTTTTCTTCTCTCTCACCCTCCCCCTCTCTTGTGTCTTGGCCACTTTCACGTGACGCGCAGCCTTCGTATTTATCCGTAGTTTAGCGGTACAAGGGTTGAATGTCGTGCAACACGATACAACCCCCTTTTCTCTCTCTCCCGCGGACCTTCCTCGCGTACCTTTCGACCTTCTTCTCTAACTCACCTCCGGAGCCTTCCCATCATCCCTTCGCTGCCCCGGGTCCTCCCTTCACCCACCCTCCCCATTTCTTAATTGCCCTGGCGCGCGGTAAAAACTCGTTAGCCATTAGATTTATTTTCTCTCGCCACGGGGATTCATCCTTCCCCTCCCTCCGCCTGTACTAGAAACCGCGCGGTGGTTGTTACCTCTCGCTTAGCGCCCGATTCTTTTTGTTGTTGTTTTTTTTTCCTCTGTACGCGCGTGATCGTCGTTCGCTTGCGAATTGATCGCCGGTGATAGATAAATGTAAATCTGGTTTATTCGGGAGGATGTGAGCGGGGGGGGGGGCGGGTTCGCGTTCCCCGTTCGCTTATCTCGCGTATTTTCGCCGACACGGAGTGCTAATTAATTACCGCGCTCGCGGTATTTACATGGTGTTTTTTCAATTTCTTCCGCGAGAGCGTGCACGCACGGTCGCCCGATGTGAATACTCCTGAAAACCTAAACCAATGACTGACGATTTAATGGTATCACATTAATTCAGATTGATCTCCATTTCATGCTGGTCTCTTTGTCGCAGTGTTCGAAGTACCCATGGCAACGATTAAAGGTAAAACGATCGGGTCAATATGGGAGAGCCCATGGGAATTCCTTTCGGCTGTAATTTCAACTCGTTTCGCCGCGTTTACGTGCGCGCTTGACGCACGTACAAAATTGTGGTCTCCGATTTTCATTATCACGATCCATTCGGATGAGACATGCACACACATGTTCACACACACACACACACACACACACACACACACACACACACACACACACACGCACGCACGCACGCACACATGCACATGCCCACGCAATACATACATGTATCCGTAACGCAGTTTTCACAGAATACGTGAAATCACGAGCAGCGTTGTAGCGCGAAATTAGCGCCTCGTGCGTTTGTTTTTTAATTATTTTTCCTTCCAACGTCTGTGGCACGCGTTATATATATTTAATTAGCGGCATCGCACCGGCATCAAATCGCGGAACGCGCGAATCACCGCCTGATCGAACGTACGTGGCGAAGATCGTGAAACGATTATAATCCGGCTCTTGCTCCTTTTTCTCTCTTCTTACCTCACCGTCATCATGAATACGCGTCGATATTGTCTCACGTCGCGACAATCGTAATCGCGACAATCACTGAGATGCACGATGACGTATCGCCGAAGAGAGTCACCACGCGTGCGCTTTCGCCCGTCAATCGCGGCTAATTACCGCTTCTTAATTTCTACCCGTTCTTCTAATTAAGCAAGGTTCACTCCCCGCTCTCCTTCCTTCCCCTTTTTCGCCCCCCTCTCAGCACCACCACGGCATAAGCCGAATCCTGCGCCTCTCTCAGATTCCTGCTATGGCCTCCTCTCTCTCCCTCTTTCCCTCCCTCCCTCCCTCTCTTTCACATTCACTCTCTTTCTCGTCGGTAAACATCGCTGGCTGGCGAATCTCCAGAAGGACCTCGCTCTTTGTCTCTTTTGCGGCATTAAAATAGAAAAGTGGGACGGCCTTTCGCGGCAGAACGCCTCGTAAATCGGCCGGCTCTTACGAGATCTCGCAGCGTCTCGCGCAACTTTTTCGCCCCGTCCAGTCTCTTTCGACGACTTTCGGCGTTTATTTCAGTCCTGCTCGCATCCGACGAACGCCATCAGGCGGTCTCCCACAAACGTGAGATTTCAAAAGTTCCCGATCGCTATTACCATTCCACCCCTTGGCAGAATATTGCATCTTACTGCCCGCTCGTTACGCGTTACTTTCACGTCGGTCTCGACTGACATCACCCCTAGCTCCTATAAACCCCGTATATTTTCAAGAGAACTACATACAATTACATATTCTCCTCCGAGCTTCGTGCAGTCTTCAACTTGACGAGTCCATTTTCCGATCGCACCCCTCGAGAGCTCTCTGCCTCTCTCGCTCACACCCCGAGGCATTAATTTTTTCGACCCCGCCTCCGGTGGTTCCGTGTGCCTCTCTTTCTCTATTTTTTTTTCTCTCCTCCAGCGCTCGATCACGAGCGCGGGCTCACTAATGAAATCATTCCCGTGGCGTTTTTCGATAGGGTGGGATCTGCACCCCATTGTACGACGCCCCTCCGCGCTCCTTTTTTCCGCTGGTCTAGCCGGGCGCGACCGGGGTCGATCCGGTTCTCCTATTGGCACAACACGGAGGGTGCCCCGTTGTCAACCCTTACGGCGTTAGGTAGATTCGCATTTTTTTTCCCCTTCCTCTCTCGCCTCGCGTTCGTCGCAGCGAGCGATTTTCGCGCACGCGGATTAACAGTTCGCGCGGCTCTTACAATTAGAAGTGGATTAATGATACGCGGGACAGAGTGGCGATGAGAGGGACAAGCCGAGGGGGTGAGTAGCGACGCGTATGAATTCCCATCGATCGCGCGTGCCGCCCGTGTTTTTTTTTTCTTCCCGCGTCAAGGGGTAGAAACTCGCCGGACGTTTTGCGGAAGAGGACGAGAGAGCGGGAGATGGCGGGCTGTACAAATTTTCGAATTATGTCGTTCCGGTCGCGGGGAAGACCCCTCCTCACGCGGACGAAGAGGCAAAAATCTCTGATCTCCCGGAGGTATCTCCGATGTCTTTTAGACATCCTTTGGACTTTCGCGTTGTTTGTGCTCTCCCCGACGCTCGTCCGAAAGCCCCGAAAGCGACGAGAACTATGAGTCAGACGCGGACGTAGAAAAGGAATCAGGAATTTCTGGTGCCTTCCTTATCGGGAGAGACAAAGCGTTCTCGTCTCGAGAAAATAACGTTCGCGGGCGGGCCGAAGCGAGAGGGAGAACGAGCGCAAGAAAGGGAGAGAGAGAAGGACAAGATGAGCAAGCCGGTGAATATCTCTCGCGGATTCCGCGAGCCCCTCGTTGCAACGAACAGCCGAAGTATCGTACGAAGGTTGTCTGCCGAGGCGAGTCTCGCGGCCTCGTCGCGGCTAAAAAAGCCAAGGAAAGACGACGCGGGTAGGAAAAAAAAGGAAAGAAAGAACGAACAACTCTCGGGCGGGAGAAAAGAATTGCGCGCGTTCTCCGCGCGCGCGAAACGACCTTCGGATTTTATCGCCGCCCGAGGGGAGGAGAGGAGTCCGCGCGCCGTTGATTATCGACCGCCAATTGTAGGCCGCGTTTTCGGTCGGCAAGTGCGAAAAAAGGAATAGAAGACAAGAATCGGAGAAAATCGACGATACCCCCCGAGGGATACGGGAACGGACGATTGTGGCGAGAGGACGGCGACACTTCACCGAGGGACATTCTCGAATCGTCGCGAGTCGAGGATGACGTCGCGTGCTGCTTACGCACGTGCGTGTCTAGAAACAAAAAAAAGAGAAGAAAAAAAAACAATCCCGGCGTGATTAGTTCTAATAAGATCGCTCGGCTAACGAGATCTCGGCCCTTGATCAAAGATGGTCCCGTCTCTATGAACACAAAATGGCCACATCGTACCCGACGTCACGCACCGCTACACGTGTGCTCACACCCACTTCCTTTTTACGCCACTCCCTGACCCGGGCCCGCGCCGGGCCTCAAGGAGCGGACAATCTGCGATCGGGGATCGCCGGAAAAATCCGGAGGAACCAATCGGCGCGAAAGGGGGTGCGAAAAAATCCCGGTGGCGAAGCGCGCGTGTGATGAGAATCACGGCGGCCAGGTGTTTGACCGGCCGATCCTCCTCCCGAGCGGCGAGCGCGATCGGGTCGCGATAAAAATGCGAAGAATCCGAAGAGGCTCGTCGTTATCGTCGCGCCGCTGATCGGCGTGCGTCGCGCGTGGTCGCGGCTAAAATCGTGCGACGTCTGGTGGTTATTTACAGCGCGACGTTAAAAATACCATCACCGGACATCGGCCGTTGTATTCACTCTGGTGTTATCCAGCTGTCCGGCCATCTTCATAATATTGATCGTGGTGTGACGTGTTCGCGCTCGCTGCACATTTATTTATTGGCGAAGAAAGAGAGAGAGAGAGAGAGAGGTAATCGACGTCACTGCATGCGTCTCGCTAACGGATCATTTCATATCATTCCGACACATTGCCGTACTCTTTCGAAATATACACCAATCAACCAGCCGACGAACGGCCGTTCTTCGCGTGTTTCTCTCGTCTCGAAAACGAGCGCGAATCGAAGGTTCCTCCCACCCTCCCGTAGCTTCGTCGACACGAGCCGTCTGAAGCGGGAACAAAGAACGCATGCAGAACCGATCTCACCGGCGCGGAATCGTTCTTTCTCTTTACCAGCGGATCGCGCATCTCTTTCTCTATCCCGTATCTGTACCGAGATACACGGGGATATCCTGACGAGGGGCTCTCTGGCAGATACACGTAGACCCTCTTAGTGGGACCAGGAAGTATGGAATTGGGAATGGTAGCGAGAGCGGCGTGCAGCCGCGCGCGCGTGCAGCCTCTCGCGAGGAGAGAGATGAATCTGGTCACGGCGGATCATAAAGTCCCTCGGGGATTCGCCCACGCCGCGTCCACTCTCTCGACCGAGCCGGGGAGAGAGAGCGAGTCGGTGAGAAAGAGAGAGATGGGAAAGAGCGAGAGAAAGAGAGAGAGAGATCGCGGGCCAGAGGTATACGAAGAGAGAGAGAGAGAGAGAGAAAAAGAGAGATACGGAGAGAGGGAGAGAAGGAGAGACGGCCGTGGAGAACGGGACGGAGAAGAAGGGAAAGAGCGTCAGCGGAGTCGAGGCACTCGCGGCGCAAAAAGCGAGGATGCGGGCAAAAAAGGAAGAGCGCGACGAAGAAACCGGTTTTTTCCAGTTGGGCCAGGTCGGGGCGTCGAACCTAGGGACCGCAACCTCCCTCCGAGAATAACTTGCATGCAACAGCAGCGGCGGCGGTACGGCCACGGTGACGCCGTCGTCCTCGTCTTCGCAACGCGCTTGCGACTGCCCCAGGTTCGGCGTAAAAAAAGGAGAGAGAAGGCATAAGTATGCCGCGGCGGTCGTGGCCACCCACACTCGCGGGACAAGAGTGAATCGGCGCGGGAGGGGAGGAGGGAGGAGGGTACGCGAGCGATGAAAACGCTCGCACGAGCCGGAAGGAAGACGCCCAAGTGGAAGCGGAGAGACGATTATCGCACGATCGGCAGCCCTCTCCTCCGGCTTTTCTAGCCTCTCTTTAGCTCGGAGCGAGTCTACTCGTTTACGAGGCGGGAAGACGCGGCGGAAAATCAGGATTGCGCCGGCTTCTGACACGCCGTTAAAAATGTCCGGAGGTAGAAGAAGAAGAAGCACGAAGTACGCCAAGAGAGGCTTCAGATAAGCGCGGGTATAAACCTGAAGAGAAAGAAGGTGACCGTGGAGGCGACTGCAAGAAGAGCGCGCAGAGATAACGTCGCGTTGTGCAAAAGCCGCGAGAGCGGCCGGGAAATCGCGTCGATTACAGGGAAGAAGAGAAACAAGCGGAAAACCTACGTGAGCGAAAGAGTAGAGAGAGTAGAGAGAGGGGGGAGAGAGAGAGAGAGAGAAAGAGAGACGGTAAAGGGAAGACGGCGTGTGTCCAAAAAATTCGGGGTCATTGCCGCTGCAGAACTTGTTTCAGTCTTGTTTCCCGCCTCGTGCCCCGTTACCTCAACCCGCTCGCGATTGTCCCAGGTCCGGGATAAAAAGAAGGACGATCGACGGAGAAGGCGAGGGGGACGAAAGGGGACCCAGCCCGGAGGGAGGGGGATGGGGAGGGTGGTCTTCGGGTAGGACGAAAAAGTACGGGAAAAAGAAGGAGTCGCGAATCGGAGAAGGCGAACAGGAAGGAAGAGAGGAACGGGAGACCCCGAAACTCTTTGGGGTCATTGCCGTCCGGTCTCGTTTTAGCCGTTCCTGCCTGTTCACCACCTTCTCCTTCTCTTCCGCGCCTTTTTCTTTTTTCTCCTACTCCCACTGCCGTTTTAAGCACTCTTTCGAGCAAGTCGGATCGCCATGTTTTTCTTCGAGCGCGTGCACCTACCGCCTCGTATGCGTGCAAGCAACCTTCGCGTGTTCGGATAGAGAAAGAGGAAAGCAGAGAGAGAAAAAGAGAGAGAAAGAGAGAGAAAGAGAGAGAGAGAGAGAGAGAACAAGACGGAATGAAATCAAGGGGAAGGGGGACGCAAGAGAGAAGACGAAAAAAAAAAAAACACGAGGTTAATACACGATCGGTGCGAATCGGTTGACGCGCGCGCGCTACCAGCCAGCGAGAGTACGAACGGGGGAAAGAAAAAAAGAATCATCACTCTAACTGGCACGTGAGAGGACGTCGAATTTCATTCATGTTTCGTTTTCTAATCTAATGCGAAACATGGCCGTTGGTAGGACTGCGATCGGCTCGTTGTAAAGGCTCGTAGTAAAGGCACACGAGAATGGTGAATCTCGTTCGCGACTCGCTTGCTAATAAGCGCGAAGTGTAGAAGGCAAGGAGAAGGAATGCAGATGCCGAAGATGTGTGCTAGCAACGGCCATGGTAGTTAAAATTGATGTATGGTACAAGCTAGTCATTCCATGCTTTGCATTCCCGTTCATGGGTGAGGTCGCGCGGGGTCGATCGGAGGTCCAAGGTCGACGAAAGTGGTCGCTTTGTTTTCGCGACGCGACGTCTGGCATCATCAGCCTTTGGCGTGCGTATATACATACGCGAAGCGAGGCCGATGCCGGCAGCATTAGCCGACGAAATCCCTAATCGCGGTTAGGGATTAATCCGCTCCGATCGTTCCCCGGACCCCACGCTTCCACATATTTGTCTGTCTAGGCTTCGCTTCGAACTCCAAACCCCTCTCTGTGACCACTATCGCCCACCCTGTCCTACACCCGAACCGAGTACTCTGTTCTGGCAGCGAAGATAAAGTTTTTGATCGGTCAAGAAGACCCTTCCGACAGATCCGTGTCTGTCTTGATTTTTGTGCCAGCTCGTTCCGGACGGCGAGAGAAAAGTATCGTTACGAAATTTCCTGGCTACGATATCGTTGACGGTGTCGCGCTTGTGCGCGCATACATGAGCACAGTATTCCCTCCAGCAACGATACGTTGAAAATTACAGTGGTAATTTCAATAATATCGAAGTATCTCCGCCTCTCATTCCCAACCTGTAATGTTTCCAAGAGCTAGCTATGATCTTTCCGAGTATCTTCACCGACGATTCATTTGTCAACTACAACTTAATTGTCTTCCGACCGTTCGCGGGAATTAATTTTGGCCGCAGTACAGCATACTGATTTCAACAACGAGCTCAATCGGAAGTAAGCACGAGAGTTCTCGAATTTTATTCGATCCGGTCGCACGAGAGTCGAATTTGTTTCGTTCGGTGAAGACGTAAAATCGCGGGCAGAAGGCGGATTACTAGTAAGGGTAGAACGGATGAACGCACTTTATTGGCGCGAGGGAGGCGAAAATTCTCTCTTCCGACCGGTGATTCTTTTCGATCGCACACTGCACTTGACCGACTGGAAACCCAGCCAATGCAATGGCAAATACCACAAAGTTCCTACCAGACACTCGACATGAATTCCCTGTGCAAAAGGAAAATAGTCTGTGGTGGCGGCGGTATATTGGTGCCTTAACTCTCACTGGTAAATCGTTCTGTTCTGTGCCCTGCCTGTCCTGCGCTTCTGGTTCGCAACTCTGTGGTGGTATTCTCTGGGTCGGCTCTCTACCGGTGCGCCGCGTGTGCCTGCTTCCGGTACTTCTTCTCTCCGGCCCCCCAAAAAAGGAGTTGCAACAGCGTGTTGTGTTCCAGCAACACGCCGCCCTGATCGGCGGCCCGAACGCAACCAGCTGTCCAGTATGCCACAAGCTCTTCCTCGGCGGTGAGGCGCTGATGGAGCACATGAAGCACACCCACAAGGACCCGAACGCCTCCGGAGTTGCCAGTAAGTATTGAAAAATCGCGCAACCCGGCCGCCCTCGACCGGCCGTCCGTGTCTCTCTACCTCGACGTGTAACACAACCTCTCTCTCGTCACATCGCATCTCCGTTACCCTCCGCTCGCGCCCAACTACTAATCTTCCTTAACCGTAACCGATCGATTAGCCGGATCTCGCGGGCGGAGTGCATCGTTGCATGAAACGTGAGGCTTGAGAAACGAAACCTTGACCGTGTCTCTCGTCTCTTACGACTAATCACCGAATCTTCCTCGCGCCCAAGCAAGCACGTAAGCACATCTTAACTCTTTCCGTGCCGATTCTCTGTTCACCCTAACCGCATTTAAGCAGAAACTAAGATCGCGAGTAGCCTCTCACATGGGGTCCCATGGGGAGAGAGGGAGAGAAAGAGAGATAAAGGAAGATAGACACGGACGCGAGAGGGACGACGTTAATCGTGAGTAAGGCTGTGAGAGAGAGAGAGAGAGAGAGAGAGAGAGAGAGGGAGAGAAAGAGAGAGAGATAGAGAGAGGTGTGGAGCAACCGCTCGTCGAGACACGAGGGGTGGTTCGTTACGTTCTTTAGCCTTTAAGTACGTCTCACATCTATCCCAAGAACTTTGCTTTGGCGCGGGCGATACGCACACATTGTCCTGTTCACTTCTTCATACTGTTTTCGCCAGGGCGGGAAAAGCGTGTAGCATTTGGCACACTCGCCGACTAATACTTGGGTACCTACTCGCTAATACATGTACACGGTGCTTCGAGGGTGTCTCGTTCCGACCTCTATGCGTGGCCTTGTGATACATACGCGTGCGTGATACGTGTGCATAAGCGCGGACGTACAGAGAACAAAAGTCCAAGCCGGATCGAGCCGCTCGTCTCTCTCCGCGACGATCGGACACCGATCATGGTGACGACTGCGCGACGTTCGTCGACACGCTCTTCGCGACATTGAAACGGCGAAGGCGCTAACGGTGCACATTCGGGTACTCGCGCGCCGGCACTTTATCGCATTATTTATAGCGCGCGTGGCACTCCGGGTGACGCGAAAAATCCGCGGAGGTTCACGAGACGCGACCTCTCGGACCCGTCTTGGACGCGCGTCTGCGTCGCGCTGATCGCCTCTCCGGCTTGGCCGCGAGAGAACGAGCGTGGATTCGCTTTGGACACGAAGAGGAAGCGTCTTTCGAAGGGTGTCGCGGGCGAAACGTTCTTTTCTCTGTGCGTCCGCGCGCGTGCAACGCGCGCGAGTACCGTGCGTATACATCCTGGTTTTTCGGCCGGCGACCTTGCTCGTGAAAGGGAGCCAGCAACACGGTGGCGACGGCCGGCACTCTGCGTGCCCGAGGTCAGTGCTCTCCTGGTCCTTGGCTATCCGCGTCCGTAAGGTCTCCCTTCGCCTTCGAGGTCGACCGGAATCTGTACGTACGTAAGTACGCGCGCGCGAGTGCACGCGAGTGCGTGAGAAATAAGGTGGGGGAGGAAAAAAAGAGAAAGAGAGAGAGAGAAAGAATATGTGAGAGAGAGTGTGTGAGAGAGAGGGAGAGAGAGAGAGAGAGAGAGAGTGAGAGAGAGAGAGAGAGAGAGAGAGATGCGAGGGAACACATGACGGTGGAGGAAAGATGGGTGAGGAGAGGAGGCGGCTTTCGTTCCTTGGGACGCTTTATCCTGCTTGGCATTGACCTTGAAATTGTGTCGCCCTATTGTTCCCTCCGCTGACTGCACAACCTCCGTTGCCGGGGTTTACCTAGCGAAGCGACGGACAGCCAACCATCCGTGCCCAGTGTGCGGGAAGCACTACGTCAACGAGGGTAGCCTTAGGAAGCATCTGGCCTGCCATCCTGAGACCAGTCAACTTAGCACAAGCCTCAGGATGTGGCCGTGCTCGGTGTGCCAAGCCGTCTTCACTCACGAGAGCGGTAAGTATTTTTGCCACGTAAAAACCGGGGGTTCCTTCCTCGCGGGAGTCGGTCCTTCCTCGCGCCGCGTCTCAAGACTTTTCGTTTTCCGTTTTCTGTGGAATACACGCGCACGCGTTTACGTCGTTTCTACGGAGTGCCCGTATCGTTTTACCGCTCGTAACTCTGTTGAGCAACGTCACCGATTACGGCATTACGAGAGACCATCTTCAAGTACTATGACCACGCACGATTCTTTCTTTCTGGTGTTAAGGTCTACTGAGCCACATGGAGCACATGAGGATGGACCCGAAGCATCAGTTCGCGGCGCAGTACGTGCTGAGCCGCGCGGCCGCCGAGAGGCGGGAAAGGGAGATCCTCGCGAGTTCGAGTTTAGGTATAAAAAGAGAGACGACAGTGTTTATATATATATATACATTATATGTACATATACTTTTCTCTACTTTGTAAATGTGATCGGACGGCGTGGCCGCGGCGCGAAATTCGCGGCGACGCCACGCCGGTGAGATGCACACACTGACCCTGTCGTACCCCCGTCGAAACCTAACATGACACCCTTGCGCTGTACAGGAGCGGGTTTGGGTGTATTGGGAAGTCAGTCCGGAGGACCGCAAAATTTGCAACAACCGCCTATGTGCCCGTCACCGTCGGCCCATTCGGACAGCAGCAGCGGCAACGGAAGACTCTCGTCGGCCGGTAGTGAACCTGGTACGCTCCGATCTTGTTCTACGTCTACTACTACTTACAAACGAACGTCTACAAACGAAGTATCTAGATATACGTGTATATATAATGATGTCGCAAGTCACGAGCACCAGTTGTTTGTAAGCCACGCCGCCGTTATTCACCTTTTTTTCTCTGGTTTCGTTTTAATGATAAAAACTCTGTTGTGAAGTACCATTAGTGAACTTATTGTAGTACACGTAAGTTACATATATGAATATACATATGTTTGAGTCCAATAAAACATATACGAATTTTCTGGTCTGAGTAATTCTCTCATGTGAACGGCGCTCGCACACGGTCACTCTACTGCTCACAACAACGGGCGGCCCCCACTTCGGAGGCGACGCCCATTCTTTGTAAGCGTTTTCGCGTACGCCGACCTAGCCGCGGAACGATACGCTACCTCACGGTTAGGCTAGCAATTGATCGAAAGAAAAGAAACACACAATGAGATAAGAGAATATAAAACGTGCGCAAAACAACCCGTCCGCCCGCCGCCCTGTACATACTGACGAGAGCAGATTTTTGCGCAGGCACCGGTCTACTGAACAACAACAACAACAACAACAACAACAATATGGCGTCGCCGGGGCCGAGCAGCAACAAGCTCAGCGAGATGCTGCGGGCGGGAAGCCAACCGGGCGCGGCGCAGCAGTACCACGACGAGATGCAGTCGCAGCAGCAACGCATGGCTGTCATGGCCGCCGCGGTGTCGGCAGGTAAGAGAATAGATAAATAGAATACCTGTGATAAGAGGATGGCCACCGTATGTATTTGATTTCCGACTGACTCCGTCATGTTTGGCTCAGCTTCCGGTTGGAATGCGTTATGCTTGCTTCCCAGCGAGAGGCAAAAATCGACACGAGCGTGGTTATATCATCTATTATCTTTTTCTTTATCAAATGCGAAATAAGCGTATGATGATATAAAATAATGATATGACTAGACTTGCGTCGACTCTTGCTGAAAAGCAGCCAAAGTTCATCAGCTGATTGACAACACGGGCAAAGATTTGGCCACCTACGAAGTTCGTGAAGTGTATTTAACCTTTCGACTCCCGTGCTGATTTCTCAGACGTAAGTTACCAAATGGGACGAGCGGCTGACCCCGAAAAAATTTCCCCTGCAATAGCAGGTTTATGATGTTAAAAGTTATATTAAAATATATAATCAATAGACATATCAATGCGTAAATATAACACAATGTTATTTATTTCTATTTATAAACATCAATTAGAAAAACCCCGTAAAAATGATGAAAATCGTCTGGCCGAATCATTCTCAAAGAAAATCGTTTCGGCGAACGGGGCGAACAGCTCGCTTGGGAGTCAAAAGGTTAAAAGAAAAGTGAGTTTGCGCGTTTCACAATGCGATTTAATTATTCATTTCTTTCGGTTTGTCCCTATTTCAATAATGTCCGAGCATTTCGCACACATGGCTGTGAACTTTCGATTTTAACCCAAACGTAGCGGCCGTGGCACAGCGACGGTGACCAAACTCTTATTATAAATACTCTATAGAAACATAGTCCGCGCCAACAGAACATTTAATAATAAAATGTGCGAACTGGTCGCGCGCGCGATCTAGCGAATCGATCGAGCGGGCCGGATCGCGCCGCTTCAAGGACCGTGCTTGTCGCGTATCAACGCTAAATTGCACGAGAGGGGAAAGCCGATAGCTCCGTTCTAATTATTACCGATAAAACTTGATTTACAATGTTGTTGCTCCGCCGACGATGTTGCGTTCGCGCCTGCCTTTCTCCGTTTCTACCACGCACTGCCCGCCCGGTAGGGGACTCGCGCTAATGATTGACGCGCGGAAACGCTCCGCGTCGCGCTCCCCGTCTCGCCGACGAGAGAAATGACACCCGCGCGTAGAAAAGCGACGCGAAAATGATTATCGACGACCCGCGCCCGGAACGTTATCTCGAATTAACTCGGCGCGTGGATTTATCGCGTGCCCGCGGCTTCTTTCACGCGGCGCTGCGGGTCGTAACTCGTCGAGAAACTCGCCGAAGAAATACCGGCAGGAAAAACAAATATCGGAATTCCTTAGCGTGACGCCGCTCCTCTCGCCGACGATCAAAGTTAGCACGGTGCGCGTTGCGAACGCGACGCGTGTTCCGCGGGATCTCGTTCCGGTCGCCGTTGATCCAAGATTCTGCACGCGAGACGCGGATTCGCGTTTTAAATTATGCACGAGACACCGAGAGAGAACTATCGTCGGTTACTTTACAACATTCGTTCTACCTTCGATCCCAGTGCACTGTGAGAGAGACCGGGAGAGACCTGGTCGGCCAAAGGAGTAAGTTGGCAAAATCGATTGTTTTCCGACAGGTTACAGAATCGAGCAAATAGATTTTATAACCGTCTTTGACATGTTTGAAATCTCTGCTTGCTCGATTCTGTAAACCTATCAGAAAATATTAGCAAAAATCATCAATTTGCCAATTTTACTTCTGCCAATTTACTTCTTTAGTCAACTGGCTCTCTTTTCAACCGGCAGATCCCTCTCTCGTCCTCTTCGATTCACCCCTTCTCACCCTCGCGAGATGTCAAAAGCGTTATTTCTGTCAGGACTACAAAATTCCGTGTCGCCTAATCTATCGCCGGTCGACATGGCGTCGCTCGCGGCGGCTATGAGGATGGGCAATAACGGTGACATGAGTGGCGGTACTCAAGGATCGACGGGACCCCAACAGCAAGGAGTGCAAGCGAGCGGACCGGAGCAGGCTCTGAGGATGCATCAGGCGGAAGCTCTGCTCCGTTCCCAGGCCGAGGCCGCCCTAAGACTCGCGGTAAGGAAGCAACCCGACACCCCGCTCCTCCTCGGTCGCGCTCGTTAAACACCGTCCCGAAATGTTTTCACAAGGGAAGCGTCGCGTTGTTTCACGAAAGAAACAATGCGGACGAAAGGGTGCATCATTCCCTTTTCCCCTCTCTACCTATCTCTTTTTCAACCCCTCTTCGTACGTCTGCGCGCAGGTGTCTCAAGCGGCGGCAGCCGCGGCGAGTTCCGCGGTGGGCGGCGACGTGAGGCATCATCTGGGACAGCATAACGGAGGCAGCACCTCCGGCATGCCGGGACACCATACGAATCAACAAATGTCCCAACAAGACACCCTATCGCCGGATCTCGGTGAGTACATCTCGGTGTGTTACACGGCGGGGCGTGAAAGCGTCCGGGGATACGACGCGGAAGTGACGAAACGTGAGCTTCGCGCAGCTTAAAAGAAGGCTTCTAACGAGCGTCCACGCTCGGCCCCTTTTCAGGAGAAGCGCTACGGCTGCAGGAGCAGCGATTAGAGCAGGCCCTCAGGCTGCACGGCGACCCGCGCGCACTGAGCTTCACTCTCCAGCACGTCGTCAACCAGCAGAGCAATCAGCAACCATGAAAGTTCAGTTACTACTGAGACGAGTGGACCCCTTGGGCGCCGGATCAGACGACCCTACCGAGCGAGCGCATGAACCAGCAGTCGTCGCAATCGTCGACGGAGCGCTCGACCCCGCTGCACGATCAGCAACAGTCGCAGCAACAGCAGCAGGGCCCGTCTACCATCGGTCACCAGCAGCCGCAGCAGCAACAGCCGCAGCAGTCTGAGGACCGTGGCGTCAAGAGGAAAGCCGACGAGATGATCGGTAATTCCGAGAACGCGTAAGAGCGGTCACGCGCACACGGTGGACGAGCGACGACGCGAGTCGTCGCCGTCGCCAGCGTGACTCGCTCCGAGCGCCCAAGTGCGGTCAACAGGATTTCGCTCATCGTCTCAGCAGTAAGAAAACACGGTCTATTAAACGGACAGACTTCGAGAGTAAGAGTGTGGTACTTCGGTGTCTTCCCGCGCGGACAGAGCCGACATCGCCGGACCAGCCGGATAAAGCGATCGCCGGAGGGGTGAGCAACCCGGCTGCGTCCGACGAAGGGAGAGTGAGGTTACGTACGTGTATAGAAAAACCGTTGCACGGCGCGAGGCGGTGGGACCTCGCGCAGTGGCGGCGCTCGTCTCTCGCGCGGACGAGTCGCCCGCGTCCTTGTTCCTAATTACACCGGTCCTGAACCAAGGATCTGCCGAGCGGACTCTCTCCCCGTGGTGGAGAGTCGCGGCGCGTGGTCGACGGCGCTCTCGCACGGAGGAAGCACCGCGTCGGGGGAGCGTTTCCCGCGGCTCCCTCCGCAGTCGCGAAGAAGAAGTCGCGGCAACAGAGAGAGAGAGAAAGAGATAGACAGAAGGAGAGCGACGTCGACCGCGGGAAGGGGAAGAACGAAGAACGACTCCTTTCAACGCCGGCTCTCACCGGAGTGTGTTATCCGTCAGGATTCTCAGGACACGTCGCCACTGCCGTGCCCGCCGCCTCGACTCCCGAAACGTGCCATAATACTAACGAGAAGCTGCTAAGAACAAACCACTAAGTCATCTCGGGATGCGCCGGGTTCCCTGCGGGGGACACGGTTCTCCCGGGATGCGCCAAGGTACTATGATAGTACAAGAGCCGATGACGCGGCAACGCGACGGTGGCCGAGGGTCCAACGGGCGATCCTCGATCGTCCCTTGCCGGGCTCAACAAACCTAAACTATATATAAATATATACATACATAGATACATCTCTATCTTACCGGACCGCAACTTAAGGTTCCACCCCCCCCCCAAAAGCCCTAATCTTAAAAAGAAACTCCCGTAATGCTTAAAAGCGAATCGCACACCAACGTATCCACGTAACGCAGGCTCACACGTGGTGCGTCGCGCGGTCGCGGCGAACGAGCCACGCACCGACGACGGTGTGGTGGTTACCGTGTCGCCGCGTGTACGGTTGTTAATTATATACGTACCGAAATCCCCTTCCCCGGTGTGTGACAGACGGACGGGACGGACGTACGGACGTTCTCTCACCTGCGATCAACGTTTTCGCGCGACGACAAAGCGACGTTGACATTTCGCGAGAAACGAACGTCGGACGTAACGTCGGAACAGATACGTACGCGCACACACACGCGGACACACAGAGACACACATATACATATGTACACGAAACCATCCGAGTATACATACATATACAGAGAGGAACACATACATGTACAATAAAATACACACATATTGCAAGGACTCATCAGCAGCACACTTTAAAGTGAAGATAAAATGCGCGCAAGTTGTGCTCGTCGGTAGCACAAAAACTATTAGCTCATAAGCGAACAAACAAAATATAGTTATTACAAACAGTTATATTATATATATTATATATACATACAGAGTATGAAGAGTATGACAGAGACAAAAAAAAAAGAACGGGCGAAACCCATTCACACTTACACGTTTAAACTGAAGAGAAAGGAAATGTGGTAAGCGTGAAAGAGCTAGCATTTTTCGTGAGCAAGCACGCGATGAAGATGAAGAGAGAAATAAAAAAACTAAATACTAAATATATTATATATATATTATATATAAATATTATAAATAATGAATATAGGGTCTATGAGACTAGGATAGTTAGGCGAAAGAGAAAAATGAGTGAATGCGGAGCGCGCCCTCGTAAGTTTTACGTTTATCCCAAGTATAGTCGACGAGAGAATGAGGACAACGTTTGGGGAGAACGAACCAGAAGAGACGTGTGCGAGAAAGTGAGAAAGGGACATAGAGAGAAAGTGAGAAAGAGTGAGAGAGAGGGAGAGAAAGTAAGTATACGTGGACGATTTTGCGAATGCACGACCTTGGGATCGGCGTAGGTGCGCGGGCGCGCCGTCGTACGAATGGTCTAGATCGAATGAATGTGAATGCTTCGTGAGCATCAAGGAAGAGCGAATGCGAGACGAGAGTGAGACTTAGAATGGCGTGCTTCAGGTAATCTGAGGTCCTGTGATCGAAATATTTTTTTATTTCCGGGTAATATAATCTGAACGCGTAAAACTCTTGCGTCGTTTTGAACTTTTACTTGCAATATACCGTTACGTTCTCGCAATACTTAGGATGAAGAAGAATAAGAAGAAGACGAATAGGAATAAAGAAGGTGGATGAACAAAAAAGAAAAACAAAGAAATAAAACACGATACGAAGATGAGGATGACGAGGGAGAGGAAGAATATGAAGAAAGTCCGTAGGTTTGATCGTGGAGCGAACTTTTAGAGACCCGAGCCAGCCCCTTGCCCTCCTAGAAGAGACAAAAAGAGACGCATCCCCCTTCGTGACGCCCCATCACACAATCCGAACTACCCCTCGGCCGGATCACCCCCTTCGTCCTCTCCGAACCTCCCCGAAACTTTGACAAAACTTATAGATCGTTCGTACTTTCGATGGGGTTATCTTTCGATGAGACCAGACGCGATGAAACGAGACGCTGACCGCAGAGAAACGTGTTTTTGACGTTTGGTTGAAAATCATTTCTTCACGTTGGTAGAGGAAAACGCGGATCCCCAAAGAGAAGCCAAAATCGACGGAGATAGAGAGGCGGTTCACAAAAAAGCAGATATAAAGGAAAAAATAAAGGTATCGTGGAAAAAGTGAGGTCAAAAATGAAAGCATCGATTCATTCATCTACGACACGATTCGATCCCTTCGTTTCTTCGACTGGCAATCGCGGACTATTAGAGCGCGAAATTGAATGGTAGCGTGCCGAATTTGTTCACGCACCTCTGGACATTAACATAGACCGCGTTACTGTTGTTGTTGTTTCCTTTCGGAGATTCTCGACGAGACTTTTCGTCCCTGACCGGTTCGTTCTTCAGACACCCCAGCCAC